ATATAATTAATATATATAATATAATTAATATATTATTTATAATGATTTTATAATTTTTAATATATAAAAAATTAAATATTTTTTTTATTTTATTAAAATAAATATTAGTTAATAGAAAGAAAAAATATAGTAAAAAAGATTTAAGATAGTAAATTTCAATTTCTGTATGCGCGCTCGAAAGAGAAATGAGAAATCAAGAGGTCTCCCCAGCAACAGAATTTAATAAATCCAGCAACAGCCACTAGAGGTGATAGTATCGCTAACGCGGTTGAGATGTCGAACCAATGGTAGCACTTGGCAACGAACGGCGGGATCAGTCAGGTTAGCCCATTGGTCGGGCAATCGCCAAGGGAGCTACGGTGGGACAACGGATAAACAGATTTCAAAGTTTCGAAGTGCTTGCAATGTGGTGCGTAGTAAGCCGCTGAAACGTCAACGAGGTGAAACGTATTCAAACTATTTTGTTTCGTTTCCTGTGATAAATCATAGGAAAGAAATTTAATATGTTTTTTATTCGGAAACAGTTCGTAATTGTGTTTAAGAAGAGGTAGTTCCACCGGTATTTGTTGAAACAGATTCTCTCCTTAAAAAGCACGGAGATGGATGAAGTAGAAAACGTAAATATTACCGAAACACCTCGCATCACGATAAATGCGAGCAGTCGCAATTCTCATGATAGTGTCGATAGTGGTTACTTGACTCTTCTTTCACCGCCACCATCACCGTCAGTGCCTTCATCTTCGTTTATAGCCTCCGAACCTATCGAGGAAGATGTGGAAATGAAACTAGTCATCGTGCCTCAGAGCACACCCCAGGTAACTACTTCACCTAGACGGAAGACACCACCACCACCTCCACGTATTGTTATTTCGCCGACCTGTAGAAAAGCTAGTCCCGCTATTAGTTCGGCAGACAATCAGAAATTAAGCAAGCTCTCTATCACGTATCTTGCTGCTATCAAGCCAAAGAGGTTGGATTTCAGTCATCGTGTCATATCTGCTGCTTTACATCATAGTAGAGCTACTCCAGATTATACAGGTAGAGAAACGGTGGATATATTGGCACTTCTTGGAGACAAAAGCAATCATTGGAGAATAGTTTCTAAAATATTGTCTTTCCTTGGACCTCAGGATCTTTGTTCCATTAGTATGGTGTCTAAAACATGGAGGAGAATCTGTTTCAGTGATTCTAGGGCCAATGTGAGAAGACTGACTCATATAATACTCAGACAGAATGCTAAAGAGAATTTAAAATTAATCAAAAAATCAAAAATAGAAGGAGACATTCAAAGTAGTCCTAGAAGTAGATACGCTAGGAAAGGGTACTTATTAGAAGTGCAGAATCTTCTTCAAGTACAGGGAAATAAACGGCCACCTAGCAGTCCACCTGTTTCTCCAAGCAAAGTAAAATTCCACTCTTTTGTCAAGGTAAGTTTTTTATTTTTTCAAATATATTTGTAAGATAGTAGCTATAATGAGATTAAGATATCAAGTATATATTATAAATATATATTATATAAAATAATTTATAAAAAAATACTATATAAAAAAGTTTATGGAATAATATAAATAATAATATAGAAGATTATACAAAAAATAATTTCAAAATAGTAATGTTAGATATTATTTTAATATATAATAATATATATTAGAATAAACTTTTATCATATATGATTTTTATTTTATACAAAATAAATTATAGATAAAATTAGATAAATATATTAAAATTATTTAATGTTTTTTTCTAAATTATACTTTTTTATAAAATTATTTTTTATAAATATTAATAATAAAATTTTTATAATTTTACAATTAAAAAATAAATTCAATTCTATAAAATATATATAATAAAAAATTAAATTAAATAACTAGTTCATTAACCTATTTGTACGAACGTGAGAAAATTATGTATTACTACATAATATATAATGCGCAAACGTTGCGTATTTAAACGATACAAAGTTTCTGTCTGAGGATCGTATTCGATCCCTGTAAAGAGAGAATTATATGTTCTACACTAACAAGGGAGTTATATTCTTCTCTCTTAGCATAAAATTTATCCTAACGGTTAGATATTTGAGCATTACAGCCAAATTTTAATAATAATTTATTACATTTTTTATTATTAAAAATTGAATCTCAAAAAAATATTTCAGTTAAAATTTGCTATTAATTATTAATTATTATATTTTAATAATTAATATAGTTATTAATTTAGGAAAAATATGATTATCACTTTAATTTTAGAATTAAAATTTAAATTCATATTATTGAAACATGCAAACATTATTGTTCATTTTTAACGAGTTATAATTAAATTTCAAGAAATTTCATTCTTGTCATATTACAGCTATTGCTAATAGAATAATATGATATATTATAAATTATGTTTTAAATATATTTTTAAAATTTTATAAAAATATTTTTATTTTGAGAAGTTTTTTATTATTAAATTGTTTAATTTCTGTATACATATGTATACGTTATAATATATATTCTTAAATTGAAACTTTTGAAATTAATTCAAAAAATATTATCTAAAATCAGCAAATATATCGAAAATACTATTAATTTTAATATATAATGTAATTTTTATCTATATAAAAATTTTTAAATTATTTGTTTGCTATTAATTTATACATTTTAATAAAATTAAAATAATGTTAATTTTAATCTTTAATTAAAATATCCACATATTTATCTGCGGAAATTATATTGTGGTCTGTGATATGTTATATGTGTTGTTGTAGTTAATATGATTGTTTGCAAGCTAAAGGTATCGTAATAAGAAGTGGAAATAAGCATATGTATATTCTAAACATATATACTAATATATTTTGATCTTTTTTGAATAATAAACGATCTATATTACCTTTGCAACTTCGATTAACGAGAAAACTGTAATGTGACGAAGAGAGATATCGGATATGAAATATCGTCAGACGTATCTAAACCTGTAATTAGGTTGCTTATATTTTTTTTCTTTCGTCGTCATTATATCTGAGGTTATGTTTTTACGAACAGAATTTTTTTTAAAGAATAATTATGTGGATAGTAATCGACTAGAATCGATTCAGTCTAGAATTTTTTTAATAATCTTACTGTGAAGCAGTATACATCTCAGCGGCGTAATTTGCACATGAGTGAACGAACGAATTCGAATTAAACAACATAATTGTTTCGTTGGTGAAATTATCTGTTTGACATTGATTTATTGTAATTTCTTCTTTGAAACGCCGCTTGCTCGTCAACTGCGACGGTAGATATGTTCAACCCTGAAAAATTACCCTCTCGCAATGGATGACCTTCTTGGAACGTATGTATAACAAATTTTGCATTCTTTAGGGCTAATTTGATAGCATTGAGATGCAAAGTATACGTATATTTCTTGTTATAAAATTTGTTATAAAATTTAATCAAAGTTATTATATATGATTTATTATATATATATAAAATATAAATTATATTTTATTTCTATAGAATATATTATATTAATTTATATTAGTAGATTTTTTCATATATAAAGAACCTAAATATATTTCATATATAAAGAACCTACTAATATATTTATCCTAGAAATATTCATTTTAATAATATTTACGAAATATGATAAATTTATTGATATAATAAATTTTATAATCTTTTCTTAAAATCTTCAAATATTTATAAATATACTACTGGTTTCTTTTATTCCTTATTTTTCAAACGAATAGATCTATAGATTATATTTTTATATTGGCTGTATTGTGAACACTTTACTAATGTTTCTACTGTTTCTTTACTCGTTTTTATTGCACATTTTACACGCTCAGTTATTATTGATAAAATGAAAGTGCACTTGTCTTTTATTGTTTACCTTAATATATACCTGAAAATTGTGTTATGATCTTTTGTATGCAAAGGATATATTTAGATCTATGTATACTACATTTTGCTTTGCATTTTTGATCCAATATTAAAATTCTAATATATTACAATTATTGTGTCTTATATTTATTATTTATTAATTAATGAAGCAAAACAATCGAAAAATAGAAAAAAAATAGAAAATAAATAGAAAATAAACTTAACAGTATAATATAAAATATATATTCAATTTATTTTTTTTCATTATACAATGTAATCTAATTATATTTATATTTTGTTCCATTATATATAAATAATAATTTTTATTTATTTATAAAAATATAAATAAATTATTCATAAATATCTTTTGTATAAGTATATTAACAAAGTAAATTGAACAAAGATCAATTTTTATGTTTGTATGCGGAAATTTTGTAATTAATCTCTTATATATTATCATATATAAATGATTAATATGATTATAGCGATAATTTCAGTTATACGAATGATATCCTAAGTCCTAGATGAGCCCTGCTATATTTGAATATATTTTTAAAAGAAATTTTACTATTAAAATCATATTAACAAAAATTATACTATTATTAAAATAAAATGCTTGAAAAAAATTAATTATTTTTTATTAATTCAGATTTCCATTTTTTGGCTACACTAATATTTTATTAAAAATATTTTAAATTTTAATAAAATTTTTTTCTATTTCTAATAATTTATAAAATTCTTTTAACTTTTTAATGAATTATTAATAATATAAATTTTCTTATAAAAAATTTATATTTGCTTAATAAATTTATATTTGCTTAATATTATATTATAATTTGCATAATAAAAATCAAACAATAACAAGTTCTCAAAATAAATATAATTATTCTATAATTATTTGCTTGCTGGAAAAATGGCAAATATTACAATTTTTTTACCAAAATTTTAATTTTGTAACGAAAAATATTTTATTTTTTTATGTGATCATATATTTTATATATGTGATCATATATTTTAATACTCGTAATTATTTTAAAAATGATCGTTTTTTCATAACAAATATACTCATTAAATATCAAAAATTAAAATTGACGAATCAATAAAGAATATATAAATAATTAAAAAAATTTTTATTCTTCAACAAAATTTTTTTCAACAATATATATATAAAATATTTTCGAATCATCGAATTCAGATTATACAACCAGATCTTCCATTTATTATATTATTTCTCGTCAAAGTATTAGGTGATTTCATTTTAAGGGAGAGAAAGTATATGCAGATTCGTTTTCCTTTATTCATAGGGATGAGCACGTTAATAATAACATATCTATTCCGTACTTTGGAGTAGTACATCAACTACCTGCCATTAGCACCTTCAGCTTTCGCTGGTGTGTATTTCTTCTCGCTTTAAATTACGATAGCAGTAGATTAGGAAGGGTAGACGCTTTGTTATCACTATGCGAGTAACAAAAGCTCTCGCGCATGATGGCATGCGGCACTTCAAGGTCTTTTGTGTTGCACGCATCGCGATAACAAAGTATTCATTAGCTTGCTTATCAAACGAATTATCATTTCATACCGCAAATTAATTTGTTGCAATCTTAAACAGTCATCTAACTTCACGTCAATTGGTAAATTTTTTCACGGTATTAAATATTTTTTGTCGCCTAATACTGTGATAACTATCATATAAACATAAATATTAATATGATATATATATCTTTCTTATATTATGTTGCAATGTTAAAATATAAACATGAATAACATAATATAATGGAATGGTTATTTGAAGATTCAAATGACTGATTGTTTGAGTAGGATAAGTATATTAGGATATGTATGTATATTTAAATGTGTATATTTAATACTATTAATTACATTCTGGAATAAATGTTTTAAAAATGATTATTTTTTTGTTACATTATATATGTATTTTTGAACATAATAAATATCTATTTGAAAATTATTATATTAATGTATTTGTTTAATTTTTGTTTTATGATATTTATTCATAATAAATTTATTCATAATAAATTTGATTCTTTCTGATTAATTATTCTAAAAATTGATGAATTATTTATGTTTATAAATTATCTTCAATAAACTGTATATTTGATCGGTATGAGAAATAAAAATCGTATAAAAGAAATATAAATATATGCATATGAAAAAATGTAAAAAAAAAATGTAAAAAAATCTTGTAAGTAGTGATTTAACGAATCTAATTAAAAAAAATCTAACGATATATTTTTAAAGAAATCATATCAAAATTTTTAATTCAAATTTTATTTATTTTTATTTATAATTTTATAATATAAATTTTTCCCTTCAAGATTAATTCTAATTTACAATTTATAATCAAAGATTATTAATTATTTTTCATAAAGAAAATGATATATTAATTCAAAAATATAAATGAAAAAAAATATTAATTAAATTTATTCGTTATTTTATGACAATATAACATAAGATAGAAATTAAATCATTTACATTAATTACAAAATTTTTTATCACATTAATGAAAAAATAATAAATAATGTTCTAATTTTAGCAATTCAATGATTCGAATGTTACATCAAAACAAATGAATAATACTTTGAATATCTCTCATTAATAACAATCAATTAAATTAATCGAATCAATTAATTGTAATAATTTTAACTTTATTCGATAAGAACAAAATATATCGAATTATTCAACTAAACTTTGGTTAATATCATTTCCAATAAAACTATAAATGTCAATAGATTTATTAATAGAATGTGAATGTATTGAAATTGTGTAAAATTTAAATACAATATTTACAAAATGACATATAAAAAATAATTCAAAATATTCAAAATATATGTCATATATTCATATATATATTCATATATTCAAATATATGATATATGTTATAATGTCATTTCACTTTTTTTTCATATCATATCATAATCAAAAACGCGAATATTTCAAATCTTCATTATTGAAACTACGATTATTATAATATAGTAGTAAATAGTTTACTTTTCTATTTTTTCCTTCAAAAATCACAAAATAAATCAAAGTGAATTTTATTCCGATAAGCGTACACAAAACTTTCGTATCGTATAAAACATTTATTAAATGAAAGAATAGAAAGAGATAATTACCACAATTACCAGTAACAACAATCATTATGAAAGATTATTTCAATTATCATAATGTGATTTGAATTTACAATCATATTGTCAAAATTCACAATATAAAACTTAATATTCTCATATTTCATATTCGTATCCTTTCCTTTAATGTTTTTGTTACGAATGACGAGATAATCATTCGAAACGAGATATAATATCTTATTAATCTATTCGAGTCTAATCGATTTTGCATAATTGACAAGAAACTGGCGCTACCGCGGCTCCCTTCCAAGTGATCCCGATCTAACCGCGAACCCCTCATATAAATATAATTCGCACTTTCTCGAGGGTGGCGCGTGTTAACATTTTCATGCGAATATACACGAACTTCTATACCTTCAATAAAGTGAGTTGTGGGGCCGATATATCACAAGGGGAGAAGCTCTCCCTTCTTTCCGCATCACAGACGCAACGAATCTTTACCTTTGGAGGGCAAGCCGACGTTAGCCCTCGGGCAAAAACCGGCCGCAGAGAACAATGCGAATATATTATAGTATTCGATGCTAAAACAAAGAGGCGAGCTACTCTTCTCTTTGTCTTTTACGAGGATTACATCGAGATGCGACACGCCAAACCACCCGTGGTTAACCGAGACTTAGTTCCACGAAAATCGCTGGCTAAATACTTTTTTCTCTTGCACCCTCGAAAATTTCTATCTTCGTGGTATGTAACAGCACAGTCGAACATTTCTATCGATAGAGATGCTCGATTTGTCTTTGTAACGGAATCGGGTTAATAAATTTTGTTATTTTATAATGCAAGTACGAATGTATATGTGTATATATTAGTATCAAATCAACATGGCTGAAGTTGTAAATGAAACTTTTTTTTAAAATAAATATTGATTAAAATAATTTAAAAATCTTATTGAATAATTTCGTACAATTTTTTTTATAATTCTCAATAGAGATGCATAATTATTTATACTGAAAATTATTAATAAATATTTATTCGATAAGAATAAATTTTTTTTTATTCTTTCTTCAACATGTTTTCCAATTTTTTTCATTGTGATCATTTATTCTTTCAATAAATTTTGTTCTTGTAATAAATATATTGTATAAAGTGGATGTATTGTTGAAAGTCGATGGATTTTTCTCGAAATAAAAAAAAAATTGGTTACATTCTGAATCATTAATTCTTATCAATTTTTAATTTAAACGGGGAAAAAATATATATAGACCTGCAATAGTTTCAGAATAATAGCTTGTAACATTTTATGTATCCAGCCATTATATTATTTTTTAGTATTTATGTAGCTTCGCATTTTTTTTTTCTGAGAACAAAAGGTAGTTTGGCGATTCGT